TTCAGAAAGGACAATCAGAACACTCTATTTTTTTTTGCTCTGAAAATTTGGCATAAGGAATTTGATTTTACCTGACATTTTAGATGTGGCTTCTGACAAGGTATCATTTCACCCCTGTGAGGCAGCAAGGCAAATTAGCACAGGTCAGAAATAAAAAGAAATGGATCCAGTTCACAAAGAAACCACAATATGGGGAAGAATGAAAATTAAACAGAAATTTGGAGTCCATGACGTGATGTGTGCTGGCAGATATGCCTCATGCTGTTAGATGAGATTCTGATGCCACTCTGTAGCTAGAACTAGTAAGAACTTGAAGTATTTTTTGGGCTATGAGTCTTTCTGGCTCTATCTGTAAAGCTGCCTTAAGGAACTGTGCTTTTATGCCTTAACTGTTCTTTCCAAAGCTTTCTTTTCACTGAGAGTGGATGACCTGAGAGGTCCTTGTCCGAATTTATTACATAATTCCACCTGGAAAAACCCTGACCAGGTCCGGTGGATGAAATAGAAACTATAGTACAGTAACCTTTCTCCCAGATATCCTAGGACATACTGGACACGTCACTGGGCAAACATCCCTCCTTCCAAACTGGATTCAGTTCTAAAGGCTTCTTCCTTTGCTAGGGGCCAGCAGACACGAGAGTTTGCAGAAGTGTGAAGAGATTTTCCTTCTAATAAAATTATTATCTAGTATTTTTACAAGCTGGAAGCATACACACATTGCATGGTTAAATAGAGTTGTGCCAAAAAATAATAACCTAGTTGTTGCCCCAGGGAGGTAATGTTGTGAATGATGCAAATGAAGGAGAAAAGCAAGAAATAGCTTAGGTTGTCAGTATCTCCCCTTTGCCTTGCTATGCTTTGGTGGTTGTTTCGTGTTGGTTAAGTAGGATAGGTACTGCTCTTTTCTGAAAATTACCTTTATTTTTTCTGTCCCTCGATGTCCAGCAAGTTACTTACTTCCTTTGGTGAGAGGCATATAACAGGTATGATCCGATTCACACAAAATTTATTTAAGCATGTTAACTTTGTGTTTATTTATGATGCTTCAGGGTTTATCAACAACATCATGAACCCCCCCCCCCCCCCCGCCAAAAAAAAAATTCTTGCTTCAGGGACTGTTACTTTAGAGTAATTATTTTGCTAGTAACAATGACTGTGACATGAGCGCTTACTTAGAAATGACAATAGAATCTGCATGTCCTTGAAAATTTTAGTAACTTTTAGAGTCATTGAAAACAGACAGAGCTAAGAGCCTGGGTGTCTTGTTTATGTGTGGCTAATTAGTGAACTAAATCCTAAGCAGAAAGAAGACAAGCTGTCTCTAGTACAGTAAAGGGTCAGAAAGTTCTAAGCCAATTTTTCTCATACATGGGAAATGCACCTGCTCATTTAGAGGACAAAAATGATTTCAGCTCTATTGACAAATTATTTTGTTACAGTATTATTCAACATTATATAGACAATTCATATGTGATGAAAAAGAAGACATTTCTAAAAACTGAGTGCAAGTTTGTTTATATGCCCATTAGATAAAAATTGCTAATTAAGTTGTTGGACTCTTTGATTTTTTGGTTATTATTATTATTATTTTTGTCTGCTCAATTCGCCAACCGTGGAGAGGTATATGCATTAGCTTCCTAGGGCTCTGCTGACAAACTCCCACACATTCAGTGGCTGAAAGCAACAGAAACTTACTGTCTCAAAGTTCCGGAGGACAGACAGAGACATCAGTGATAGTAAGGCTGCTCTCCCCCTGTGGGATCTAGGGAGGCTGCTTTCTTGCCTCTTCCACCTGGGGCTGCAGGTGTTCCCTGGCTCATCAACTCCAATTGCAGCCTCCGTCTTCACACAGCTTCTGCATCTTCTTGTCTCTCAGAAGAACTCCTGTCATTGGATTTCAGGCCCACCGAGATAACCCACCGTAAAACTGTCTGAAGATCCTAATTTAATTACATTTGTAAAGGCCCCTTTTCCAAACAATAAACAAACATGAACAGGATTTGGGGCATTGGCCTGTGGATATAATTTGAGGGACAATCATTCAACTTGCTATAGGGAGTGTATTGAAATTTTCCACTATGCCTGATTTTCAAGTTATCAGACCTCTGCCAATTTTTATTTTTTATGTATTTTGAGGATGATGTTTTTAGATACCCATGAGTTCAGGAGTTTTCTCCCTGACTAATTGTTCCTTTTGTCCTTGTATACTGACCTTCTATATTCCCTTTAATTATTTTTCTTGCTTTAAAATCTAGTTGGCTGGTAAGAACCTAATTTTTCCAGCTTGCCCTGGGTTAGTACTGATATAATGTATTGTTTTCTATTATAATATTTTAAAATGTTGTGTTTGATTGTCTTTTAGACATCTGATTTTGAGAACAGCTTATAGTTGGACTAAAAACCTAAACACTTCTTCAAACATAGAAAATATAGTGCAATGAGACCCCATATACTCATTGGCCAGATTAATCAATTGTCAAGATTTTATCATTTTTCCTTCCCTTGATCTTTTAAAAATACAGTGGTACCTCAGTTCACTATCTTAATTTGTTCCACAACTCTGGAAAACATGGCCATGCTCGTGTTTGCCCTGGGAAGATGGGCACAGTCGTGCTCGTCACTCAATGCAGAGTCTCCAAACAAAAAAAAATCTGCCAAATGCTTCCATTTCTGAACCAAATTTTTCACAAACAAAAGTGTTTATGAACCGAAGTACCACTTTATTCCTTGACTTTTTATTTTGTTTTCCTTGAAGGAGTACTTTAAAGCACTTCCAAAGTATCATATCATTTTACCTTATGCATTTTGTATGCAATTCTAAATAACATGAATATTTTCTTTTATGACAAAATACCATTATCACATCTGGCAAAATAATAATCCTTTGGTATCACGTAACACTCAATATATAATTTAATTCTCCCAGTTTTCTCATGCTTTTTTACTGTTGGTAACTTGAACCAGGATATAAACAGGGTCCATGCATTTAATTTGTTTGTTATGCCCCTTTAATCTCTCTTAATATAGACCAGTTCCCCTTTTCCAGTTTTTTCTTTTGTGCCAAGAACAAGGATGCTTGTTGTGGACACGAGCAACAGATCTCTGTGTGACTGGCAGAGATGCCTCACCTGCTCATGGCAAGAAGAGGCACCTGTGGCTTCATCTTGGTTTGGGGTGGGCTAAACATGCAGTAGACCCCAAGATAAGGGACTGGCTCCCACAGCCTGACCTCAGGACCTACACAGGATCCTGGCTCTTCTCTTTTTCTCTTTTCTTTCTCCCTTTATCTCTCCCCAAAAGTACACAAGGAAGATCTTAAAGACACACAGTACCACTTTAATGTTGTAGATAGTGCAATGCTTGTCCCCCAAATGGCACCTTTTGATTTTATTTTATAAACTTGGGTCCAGCTTAAGATTAAAGATTTTAAAAGGTTGATTTTTCTCAAAATGTAAGTTAAAAAAATAGACATCCATCAAACTTGGTTTCATAATAAGGATAGACAGTAAACAAATACCCCATCTAACAATCTATGGCTCTTCTCTGTGATAAGATATTTTATACTAAAATAAAATTTAAATATACTCTTAGAGATAAAAAACCCCAATGGTTCTAACATAGTAATGCCGACATAATTGTTATTCTAAAATGTTTGCTCTTGATTTCTAATTTCTTCTGTAAAACTTTATAACAGTTATCTGGGAAAACAATCATAGTTACAATATAGCAGTTCCCAGGTCATACTTTATATTTTAAAGTCCTTTATATTTCAATATCCAGATAAGATTATGATAGTTAACCTATGGGTCCCATTTCGGTATTGGTGTAACTGTCCTTCTGGGGGTTCAAAAACTGACATTTAGAGCTAAAAAGATAACAAAGCTAAAAAAGATAACTGGGTTAAGAAAACAGCCAATATTTTGGCCCTGGCCCTCCAGGGTCAACAAGAACTTAGGACATGAGGATACCTCTCTACAAGAGCCTGCAACTCTGGTGAGTTACCCAGCATCCTGAGCAGGGAGACTGTTAGATTCCAGTGGACAAGAGTCCATGTACATTATGCTAAAATGAGGGACCAGAGAAAAATGTCTCTCATGCTTTTAAGGGAAGTCACATGGCAAACAAGACTGTGACTCATCCTGAAAGATGACATTGACAGAGCAGCTAAGAGGCTCTAGCCCCCACAACAACCCCTGAAAAGCCTTAACTGACATAGATCTAAATATTATCAATTAACATAGGTCTTACTTTAGCTTGATCTTAAACAGCCAGGAGAAACGTTTAAACAACCAAAAACCCAGAGCCCTCAGTCTTCTTACAGCTAAAACTGAAACAAACAGACAAACGAACAAACTTGTGTGCTTTGAAATAAAACTTGCTGTCTTTAGATAAATAATTCATGTCAAATAAAGAAACAGATCTTAAAACAAAAATTCGGACTTGTATAGATAACCTCCTGACTGCCAAAAAGAGACTGTCTATTCCTAAAAGAGGAATGGTGCTCTTTTTCAGCTAGTCCAAAATGGTGAGAGATACAGCGCATAGAGAGGAATCGCACTGCCTTCTTTGACATTTGAGCCCCGTTCCATGGTGACTATATGATGTCTGGGAAGTTCTTAACTACAGTGGTCCCTTGGTATTCAAGGATGACCAATTCCAGGACACCTGAAGATACTAAAATCTGCAGGTGCTGAAGTCCCTTACATAAAATGGTATGGTATGTGCACATAACCATACACTCCCTCCTGTATACTTTGTCATCACTAGATTACTTATGACACCTAAGGTAATGTAAATGCTAAGAAAAACATTGCTACACTGTATTCTTTGGGCAACAATGACAAGAACAAGTGTGTATATGTTCACTACAGAGACAATTGTTTTTGACATATTTTCAATCTGTGGTTGATCAAATGTGGAATGTGGATATAAAGCTTTGAACCTACAAATGGTGATACAAATAGATTCACTGGTGGACATTCCTCTGGATTTCTACTCAGGTCCCTTGAAGAGCTCTCACAGTGGTGGGCCTTGACTGTTGCCCTAACTGTGCCCCCTGTCAACTAGAAGCATCTGGAGTGAATGACGCCCCTGCACCAGTAACAACAGTTGGGTGACACTGTTGGGCAGGGTGGGGGGTGGGGTTGAGACCAGGAGATAAAGAGCAAAGTAAAAGGGTCTGAGTAAACTGAAGGCAAGGTGAGATAAGCCTCCAAGGAAATTAGAATGCACGAGACAAAGGACTAATAAAATGTGCTTAACACAAGAAGCCTGGCAGGCAGCAACTAACCTGCAGCTTTGCACATCCTCTGCCCCTTTGGCTGCCTTTCCACATGCAGATCAAAGAGCTGTACATAAACTTCTAGATTCTGGTGCTTCCTTGGTGACCTTGCCCCTTCAACTCTAGGGAGGGCTTTTCTTGGTTCTTTGTAATAAACCATACCTGGTATTATTCCCCACTGCCTGCTGTTCTGTGGCATCATTCTTCATTGCCCCCAGGACAAGAACTCTGAGGATAGAGCTGGTTACATCTTCATTTTGTGGTTTTTTTAGTGGCTGTCCTTAAATTTTAAAAAATGACCATTTGTTCTGAGCAAGTCTATAGTGCTCTTACAGTATATCCTCTCTGACTACGTTATTGATTCCCAGTATTTCATACAACACATTCTTGTTTAAATTTATATACTTGTGTATCAGTTACTTTATTCATCATATATTTTAAATTTAGGGAGTTTTGGTATTTAGAGCCCATAAAGTATTTGCTTTAATAATTCTTTCATTGAGGATTTGTGAATGGTAAACTTTTTTTAACATTTGTCTAAAAATATGTTTTTCTTTCAGTACCCTCAGTACTGAATGATAGTTTAGGTGGGTATAGAATTTTTGATTTTCTTTTAGTACTTTGAAGAAATTATTCCATTGTCTTTTGGCCTCTGCTTTTATAGCTGAGAAGTCATTTGCCAGTCTCATTTTCTTTTTAGATTCATCTGTTTTTGTACTCCAGTTATTTTTAAGGTAGTTTTATTTCTGGTTTTACAGTGGTATACCAAAGGGTATTTTTATTTCATGTATTATGCTTAAAATTTAAAACTTTTCTTCATTTGAGAATTCATGCTTTTATTCATTTTTGAGAAATGCTCAGCTATTATCTTTTCAAATATTGCTTGCTTGATTCTTTATTCTTTTCTTCTGAATTCCCAGTAGATTATTTGAAACATAGTTATTTTCTTGTAAATAAGTATTAAATTTTCTTACACATCTTTAAATTTTTTTTCTATATTTGGGGTCTCTATTCTGGGTACCTTGGTTGTATCATTCACATTACTTTTTCCTTTCAATTGCATGTACTCTTTCTTTAATTCATCCTTTGAGTTTGTGATTTCAATGTTTATATTTTTCCTTAAAATTTCTATTGAGTTATTTTTCAAATCTATCTGTATTTTTCTCATGTATATTCTTTTGTTCATTTTATCCTCTAAACTCTTAATCAGTTTTAACATACTTTTCTATTTTTACTTTCAGATTGTTATTTTACTCTCACTAGTTCTAGGGCATCAAATTGTCCTGTTGTGTCTGCTGATTTTCTCTTGTCCTCTTCTATTGTGAGTTCATTTACTATGTAGGACATGCACGTTTTTAAGTGGGGAATTCTGTGTAACAAAAGTGTGGTAATACCTTTCCACAATGGATTTGCATTTCATCCCCAAAGTGCCCCAAGTGATAAGCAGGTATTTGCTAATTTATAGGCTTGCAATTTCCCATCTTTGTGAATAACAGCATACAGAGGCTCAGTCCAAGACTTGTTTTTTCTTAACAAATGTCCCTGCCCAGGATCAAGCTATTTTCTGTCAGGTCCCTGAGACATAGACAGAGTTTTTCTGTGCCTTTAAAACCTGATTTTATCTGTGAGTTACATTTCAATCAGCCACATCTTGTGACTGCATTCATTATACAATCCAAGCTGTTAGCCTTTACTCCTTCAATCAGCCCCTCCCGCCTCTGCCCATGATCACTTAGCATGGATTTTGTCAAAATTCAAGCTTCACCTTCTTTTTTATTTCTAGTATCAACAATCTCTCTCCCCTCCTCTTCTTTCAGTCCTCAGCTATTCAACTTTCTTGTAACATTTCTAGGTGACTATAGGTAAAGGATTTCTGTTTTAACATACCATTTTCTAGAATTATGAAATATAAAAATATTTTAAAACCCATTCATTTAAATTGTGCACAAATCCCTCTCTTGGTGTGTTTACAACAACTGTCCTCCCTTTCCCTGAATTTAACTAGTGGGCAATGCAGCACTGAGGGTGCCATGTAGTGGCTAAATTCTCTCACCATGCCATTTGTAGATCCTATTTTTGTGCTTTCTTATAAATCTGATCACAATCATAAATGTGAGTGGAGAAGTTGAGGATATTGGAACACATTCAATTACTATGCTATTGTCCAGGGGACACCCACCAAGTTGGAGGCCCGTGAAGAGTAGCAGTCTGAGTCTTAAGGCTGTCTGCTGGCAGTTTCTTCTTGCTTGGGGCAGGTGAGTCTCGGTTCCACTGACTGTATGAGGAACACCCATATTGGGCAGGGCAATCTGCTTTACTCAATGTCTGCTAATTTAAACGTTAATCTCATCCACAAACACCTTCATGGAACCATCCAAAATAGTATTTGACCAAATACTTTGAGTATGGCCCAGCCAAGTTGACACATCAAGTAGCTGTCACACCAGCATTATGGTTTTGTCTAGGACTTGGTTAACTATGCGTTTTTTCCCCTGTCTGTCTTGTCTTCTAGGGTGTGACTACCTTCAGGGTAGACACGGTCTAGCATGGCTTCTGGAATTTACTACATGCTGGACATGTTTATTAATGAATTAATCATAAAAGGAAAGGCAGGAGGGAAACTAAAATTCATTTTAGACATTATACGTTTCTTGAGGGCACAGGTTTCTTGATTTATTAAAAAATTATTTGTACTGTTTGTGATTATAAAGTAGACACTTATTTCAAATCAGAGACGTGTGATGCAACTGACCTTCAATGAGGCACCATGTCCCACATATGATGCTCACTCCCATCATTGCTTCTCATTGGCCGTGAGAAGGAATCTGTGTAGGACAGTACATTCTTATCTCCTCTTCCTGGAGAAAAGATAGAACATGAGTCTTTGTCATGCTAATTTTGAAACACTCTAGCATAATTTTAGAGATAAATTTAAGGTTTTTTTGGTGGGGAGATGGGAGAGGATGCAGGACTCTCGAATTTTCCTCTCCACTGTAGGTAACTTTTAGCTACAAGAAGGACAGGTTGAGTTGTTCCAAAGAAATCACATGCAGTTCTTTCAGTTTCTGTGCTCATGATCTTTCTCACTTTCTCTTTTCCTTCCTTCCTTCCTTCCTTCCTTCCTTCCTTCCTTCCTTCCTTCCTTCTCTTCTTTCCTATTTAGTTTTTGAGGTGGATTGCCTAGTTTCCCAAGCTGGCTTCAAACTCCTGGACTCATGTGTTGCTCTTGCCTCAGCCTCTTGGGTAGCTGGAACTGGAAGGGTATGCCACTACGCCCAGCTGAATTCCTTTTCTTCATTGTGGTGGTCCCCTGTAGGAACATTCTCATATTTAACTATTGAACTATGGGCTGAATTATGTTTCCACAAATTCATATGACCAAGAAACAATCCCAAGTACCTGGGAATGTGACTTTACTGTCTTTGGAGATAGGGTCATTAAAGAAACAATTAAGTTAATGTGAGGACATTAGGGTGGGGGCTGACCCAGTATAATTTATGCCCTTATAAGAACAGAAGATTAAGACGTAGACACACAGGGGGAAGACAGTGTGAAGACACAGGGAGAAGATGGCCACTTACAAGCCAAGGAGAGAGGCTTCAGAAGAAGCTAACCCTACTGACACCTTGACCTGGGACTTCCAGCTTCCAAAAATATGAGAAAATAAATTTTTTATTGTTCAAGCATCCAGGCTGTTGTTGTCATGGCAACCCTAGGCAAAGATATGCAACTAGATTGTTTCATGTGAATTCATTCCTACCACAGTCAGATTGTTCATTGTTTTCATTCATTTTGCAGCCAACAGGATTCCACCTGGGTTCCTTAGGCAGCACTCTTGTAAAACTTGCTCTTTGGAGTAGAACGTATAAAGTTGAAAGAACTCTTACATTCAGATGAATCTTGGCTTCCAACTTTTCCTTAGCAATGCAGATTGCTACAGGGCTTAGGATAAATTTAAGAAAGACCTGACACTAATCTGCATTCACTCTGCTAAAAAACTGCACATGACACAGGGAGCATCCAGCTCTGTTTTGCTGGATGGAGCCGGTGTGGGGAAGGAGACCCATAGACACCAGTCTGAGGTCCATATCTGGACAAGGAGCAATAGCTGGGCTCTCCATCATAGATTGTGCCCCAACATTTGTACTTGCTTGCAGAAAAAATAATTCTGGCAGGTCACTGCAATTTCCTTGCCGCTGCTGGAAAGCTAAAAGAAAATGTCCCACTGGGGCAATATTTTTGACAGTCTACCAAGTTTAATACTTTTTCTTATTATTGTTGGTAATTTAATGTGAGTCACAAGTAGTTCCCTTTCTTCTTCCTCAGTGAGCTTGATCTTGTATTTTAGAAAACAAGGGAAGTCTGTAATCATATGTTTTATGAATGTGTAATTTTGTTTTCTTTCCTTACTTAAATACAGAAAAAATCTGAAAATAACTTCCCTTTTTCATCAAATGTTAAGATGTAATCCTATCATAGGTGATTAGAAAATGAAGTTTATATAAAGACTGTTATATGTTCAACCCTGAAATTCTTATAGACATAAGTCTATTTTTTGCCATTTTAAAAAACTTCCTTCATTTCTCTTAGACATCAATGAAAATGTATCTCTTTCTATCCTTGATCAAACAGCTTAATCTTCTCTTGCCTAAGATTTTCAATTATACTGGCTTTGAGAGGTCTGAGGACCTTGTCTGTATTAAAGACACTGCAAACAGCCTAGCATTATTATAAGCTGTGCAGGCTCAAATCCCATATGAAGTCTAGATCTCAATTTATCGTAACCTCCGGGCATGTCTACATTCTCTATAAACAAATTGGAATTATTTCCTCTTTTGATCTGGATATACTGAAAAAGAAATTTCATTTTTTAAAAAAG